ATGAATCGGGCATACGCTGAGGAGACTGTCGAATGACATCACGCTCAGTGCAGTCTATCGACCTAATGGAACTCGAATAGGAAGAGTTGGGTGTGTGTCCAAGAGTGACGGTGAGACTATCGTACGAGAAGGATATGTGACACGATTAGTAATCGTGAGGCCAGCTAAAGAGGATTGAAAAGATTGGGGTGAAATATAGATGTGCTGATGAAGCCCTATATTCCACTTGGAACTAAACGGAACATTTATAATTTATAATATATATATATATATTTATACATAATATATTTTGTGGACTGTAAGTTTAATGCACAATTTCATTAATTATGTATACGTACAGTGAAAATTTTGCACTTTGATTTTATTTACACAACCAGGTGTTCAGTAGATAGACATTTAAAAATCTAAAAGGTCATTTTATTTTATTTAACATTGCTTTGTAGCAGGTTACGTAATCAAAACAGCCAAAAAAAATGTATGTGTCGTGTAAATCTGCGTTAAAAGATAAAGTTATTTTATCTATCAAAGAATTTAATAACCCTTTAAAAAGTGAATGCACGTTTTCAGATATTTCATTCAACTAACCACTGTGGTTTTTATATCTTATAAAGCGTAACAGTTAAAATAGTTTGTTCATAATACATGGATTAATTTAAAGCCAGACATCCGTTTATAATCTACTTGTCAAAACATTCTTATAACGAAAGCCGACGAAGGAAACGTCACTGTGATAATGAACAGAATGGATTATGAAAAGAAGGCGATTGAATACCTATCTGAAGGACCATACTTACTTATTGAAGAGAAGAAGAAATCCGCTGAATTGAACAAAATGAAACTAAATACAAAGAGACTCTTTCAAGAAATGAAACTCAAAATTGGAAATCCTCTCTGATTTAAACTGAAACCAAAATCTTATGCACCTTCAAGATTCTATGGTCAACCAAAGATACATAAACCCACAGTTCCATTAAGACCAGTAATAGATTTTACCAACTCACTGACATACAACCTATCTAAATACTTACTCTCGGTACTACAACCACTACAAAAGGACATTGAGAATATTGTAAGGAATTCATGTGATTTCAGATCCCAAATAGAACACCGAGAGAATAATAAAGAAGACATTATAGTAAGCTATGATATTAACTAATTATATATTATTATCCCTATTACCGAAAGTCTTGATATCATTTCCAGCCTACTAGAATCAGATACAACGCTATCACAAAGATGTCCACTGGACACCAGTGAAATAATTAGGAGCTTGAAATTCTGTCTAGAAAGTAATTATTTTACACTTAAAGGGAGTTTATACAGACAGACAAATGGTGTTGCTAAGGGCTCACCAGTCTCCCCAATAATCCCCGACCTTTTCATGAATAAATTCGAAAATAACATCTTTTCAAGAATACTCACTCCTAAAATATGGTTAAGATATGTAGATGATACTTTTGTAGTACTAAAACGGGATCTACACAATTCATTCCTGGAGAAAATAAACTGTGTATCTTCCAGAATCCAGTTTACTTCGGAAGCAGAATCAGAGGTCAGTGAACTACCATTTCTAGACTGCCTAGTTTAAGAGGAGGGTAAACGGACATTTTAGTATATCATATTCAGGAAGAAAACCCACTCCAATAAATATTTAGACTTCAAGTCATCACACCCCATCAGCGCAAAGATTTCAGATGTTTCAAGTCCTCTTAGACGAGCACACTCTCTGATAACGGATGAGAAAGAAAAAGAAGAAATATCAAACATTACTGAAACTCTCAAGCAAAACAACTACCTAAGGGACTTCATCAACAAAATTAACACAGACATTAAGTATGGCCGAAAACGCATTCCGATAACATGAACTTCAACGGTCGTCATTCCATATAGAGCAGAGATGTCAGATGATATCAAAAGAGTACTCAATCAGCTCGACATTAGAGTTTTCTTCAAAACATCAGACACACTTCAAAGCAACCTTGTCCATATAAAAGACCAAATCCCTGAAGATTCTCTATCTAATTGTGTCTATAAAATAAAATGCTTGGAATGTGATGCGATATATATAGGACAAACAACTCGAGAAATCAAAATCAGAAGAAATGAACACCGTAGAGCATCTGTTCGACCACCAAGAAATCCGGTTGAGCTAGAAGAGCTTGAAAAACCATCAGCCATAGGTCTACATGCTATAGAATCAGGCCACAAAATTGATTTTGACAATATTGAAATAATCCAGAAAAACTTCAGAAATCACAAAGAATGTTTAATATCAGAAACACTTCATATCAAGTGGAATCCAAATTGCCTGAATAGGAATGATGGACTAAAACAGAATCTGACCTGGTTACAACACCTCCCTCCCCCAATGTGATATGCAAGTTCACTATGTAAACACACACTGTCTTTGTAATTTTAAACACTGATCAAATCCAACAATCCACACTTCATTTTGTTATCTTTACCAATTGACTAACTTGACAACGAAAAATGACCCCAGACTAACGAACGATGATCAAGTTAGTAAACTTTGTTTTGATGCCATAACAGATGTACTATTACCTTTGTTATTTGGTTTAGTGACTTTCAATATGTCCTTTTAACTTGACCTAAGTCTATTTTTTCACCCCTTAACTCTTTGTTATATATATGCTGAGATTTTGTGAATTCCGGTTCAATAATACTTTGATTAAACTGTTAGCATTAAATAGCGAAACGTCAGTAAAAACAACATCGTTTTGTTTTTCATTCATTGGGAAATACAAAATACCTTTATTATAATGAATATCATATAACCAATGCCCAAATTTTTTCAAACTGTTAAAAGTGAACTTGGTCTGGACATATATAAATCAGTTGATGACCTTTAAAATCCAAGGAAGTTTCGAATACGGAGTTCCTAAACAAAGTCGTCTTTTTATTTTCCTTTATCTCAAAACCTGACTGAAGGATATCTGTGAAATGAAATTAAAATCTGGACATACATAATTCTTACCACGCATTCGTCTGGAACAAAATCCGTACGGAAAAACATTAAAGTATAACTCAAATATTCTGATATATAACCATCAAGGTCTAAGCTCATTGACTGTTTTATTCTAAGTGTATGAAAATTAAATAACTTATCTGGAAATTACTCTAATACTGGGGAGTGCAATACGTCAAATCTTTATCAACCTTATTCAATAGCTATATAACAATATCACATATCATGTGACCCAAAACGGAAACCTCTGTGAAGCCTTTGAAGTGAAAACAAGAGAAAGATAAGTCTGCCTACTATCACCGATGATCCCTCTGATGATGATGGATTTGATCATTGTCAGGCTTTGGCTGCCTGGAAGAAAAAAAAACTATTTTAAACCAATAAGAAGACTGTAGAAGTTCTGGATTTCGAGACGATTTATGTTCAAAGTCATAAAAACTTGAAGACTAACAGTCAAAAACCAACAAAATCCAGAAGACATTGGCAGTAAAGACAAGATATGCAGTGAACATAGCGAAGACTGAGATGGTGAAGATACCCACTCAGTGCCAGTCACTATGAATGTAAGAAATTTGAACGATGTCACTTCCTTCACTTATCTAGGAAGTATCATTAAAACTACTCATGACAGCATGGATAAGGATGTCAAACCGAACCTCCATCACCCTGATAATAGTTTGGAAATCTTTGGAACTCAGCATAAACAATAAAATTCGAATTTTCAACACCTATGTCAAGCCAGTCAGTACTTTTGTATGGTCAGAAACGTGTCATTTTAGTCACCGAAATCATTGCCAACAGGCCACCGCAGACTTTGATCAACAACAGCTTTCACTGGTTCCATAATGAAGATCAGATGGTTAACCAGGAAGAAACAGAAACAAGAGACTCTGGGAATGAGCCAACTAAGAAGCTATTACTCAACAATCCCGCAGACGAAAATCGAGATTGATAGGATACGTGCTGAGATGACCATTGAATGACATTGTGAGCCAGGCCATCGCTAGAGTGGAACTCGAATGGGGAAATGATGATTTGGGCTTTGCACCAAGGGTGACATGGAGTCGATCGTGTAAGGATGAGATGAGAGCTGATGGGAAATCATGAAGCCAACTCAAACGACTGCGGAGAAAAGAATGAAATGGAGATGTTCTGTTGAAACTCTTTGTTCCATTCGAAACCTAAGGGAATAGTACTATTGATAATCAAACTGTTAATTATTAAGTAATGCTGTTTTAACTGCACACAGTAGGTTGTCCTGTAAGTAAAACTATTCTGTGTTATCATACAAACCAATTCACTGCAATAATATTCAAGATTTATTCATATTTCATTATGTTCACGTGAAAACTAGCCTGTACTGGCATAGGTCGTGAAAACATAATTGTAATCATGTTTGTCTACAGACAGTGTAGTTTTTTGAAAAGAGGCATAATCAACGTGTCGTAGGCTGGTAACTCTTACAATAGACACACTTAACTAAATGCTACAAAATATTTTATTTGAAAACAGTCACAGTAATCAATTGATTCCCTGAAAACGAACTAACACTTGAAAATTAATCTATTGCTTACTGATGACTGATCTCAATGATGAAGTTTTACAAAGTTCCAATGACAAATCGTGAACAGTATAGGCCATCAAGATGAATATGAGGACGAGAACTTGCAGTCGCGCTATATATGGCGAATTTTCGGGAGTTAGAATTCATGAATCTTTGAATTCCATTCTAGTTATTGAATGCTCACCAAGCTAGCCTTGTAACCTGAAGACCCTGGGTTCAGTCCCTGGCTTTGGGATAATGCTTGGGTAGTGATGGAGACTCCTAAATAAGGACGACATAGGTGTATAATACTCCCAGTGGTTTTCTAGTTGAAGCCAATTCGTACTCGAACAGTAGAATATTGGACAGTAGTCAACCGGTCGGTTCACATTATTTAGCGATATAAAAACATTGTATTGCATTGTTTATAGTTTGAAAACAGTAAAAACGTATCGAAATGTTCTAACATACCTCCACCGTTACGATAACAAATAAACGGAAATCTCCATATATTGCCTAAATCTACAGCGAAACCAATAACAGCGAGTAAAAAATCAATTTTCGTATCCCATGTTTCACGGGCATGTTTCTCTGTCGTAACAACTGAACTAGTCGGTTGATTTTCTTCATCATTCCCATCACGTTGTTTTTCATTATTCACTGTAGTACACTTATTTTCATTATTATTATTACTATTAATTATCATTTCATTTGGAAGAATTGTTTGCAGTTTATCATCGTTATTTATTATGCATTGACTTAAAGACGATTGTCTGTTATCTTTCGAAGAATGTACCTCCTTTGAATTTAACACATTCAATGGATCATGGTGAAATTCAGCTTTCCGCGGTGACATTTGTTCTGATGAATGAAAATGTTGATTAGGTGAAATATCACTAGATAATCCATAATCACCTAATGTGGTTTCATTAGTGATTTTTGTAAAATCAGGTTTATTCCGATACATTTGTATTGGCATAGCATACTGTGATTGTGCTCTTACCCGGGAGTCAGTGATATATGGCGGTTGTCGTTGTTGTTGTTGTTGCTGTTGTTGTTGTTGTTGATGTGGATTTTGCTGTGATTGGTAGGTCAAATTAGAACAGACTGTTGGTATATTTTGATTCATGTAGTTTTTTTCTATTCAATTTTCAATGGATATTCAATATATAAATATATTTAACTTGTATACTTCAAGTTGGCGTTTATGATATGGTCAACTTATATGGTAACTGTTAGATGTGTTGACTGAAACACTTTGTGACGAATGAACGATTGAGTAGTAATACCAAAGATACAAGTGAAGCATAAACACAATACAGGTCAGTGTAATGATGTTAGCTCAACATGTCATCCTCTAAATAAATACTGATATATATATATATATATATCGTTCACTTAAGTAATAAAATTGACAACTTTATTACAAAGTAAGACGACTTTACACAAATTTAGCTATTCGCTGATAAGTTAAATTTCAGTAAAAGAACAATTATAAGCAGAAATTAACCAATCGCTTTTTTGGCTTTGTTTATACAATAGAATTGTCATACAAATTTGCTTTTTCCATATTAAACATTTTCCTTTTTTGCAAGCTAACATCGTTGTCATCGTTATTTGCTTCAAAATGTAATTGAGAAGAATGATTTGAGTAGATTTATGTATGCCTCAAAGTGTAATTAAGGGATGAAAAAATCAGAATTTGTTGTGTTTTTTTTCAATATTTGAGGTGGAAAATTTGTTAACGAGAAACTCAATAAACTCAACTTTGAGTTTTTACTATTTTCTTTTCATCTTGCAGCTTTTCCAGGATGTGAAACTGATTTCTTTCTACACAACTTGAAGGATTTAACTTTTCAAGGTATCTTACATTTCTCACTATCAGAGAATGTGTTTCAGTGATTCAGGCATAGAAGAATACTCGACTACCATGTATGCCATTCGGGGTTCGATTACGGGTCAACGCACTCCAAAACATCCCTTGGTAATAACAATAATAACCACTGTATTCCAATCAATGGAAATCATCATTCAGAATGAAATTTTCAGCGCCTCTATGCATATCGCGACAATTTAGCTACTTTTATAAATATATAAGCACATAAAATTTTTAAAAAGTTATGAAACCACAAAGACTGAAGGTTAGTGGAACATGAAGAACTATAAATAAATAATATAATAAATAATACACGTAATAGTAATAATCTTTTGTTGTATTCGACAGTTCAGTAACTAATTTAAAAAATTTACATGTTCTTTTTGATACCTGAATCTTCACACAAAACTCGTACTAAATATGATATGGTAGAATGTTTATATATTATGTTGTGCAGGCGTAAATTCTTTTTAAGTTTCTTCTGGTTGCACCCTCAAAGATATACGAGGAAATTGTTGACAATTAAGATGATGTTTGGTATCAAACAAGATGCCTTCAACCAACTGCTTGCAAGAATTGAAGTGCCTATTGAGAATGATTTCAGTTGACTGAGTCCAAAGAGCACCACTAATCCTACTTACAGCCTTCAGTATTCTACATAATATTCAGGACTTAGTCGTTCTTGAGAAGCACAGGGAAGAATAAGTGTGGAGAACAATAAAGAAGAAGAATCGGCAGAATACATAGAAGCAATAAACTGTAAGAGAAAATGTTTTATATTATGCCAGCAGAAAGTTCGGACGTCTTTATGTATTAGGTAAAATGAAAGATTTTTAGGGAATTTACGGATATGAGATGACCAACAGAGATTCGAAGAGAAACTGATGTTGAGAAAAGAGATATTGGATTTCATATTATATGAGTTTATTTCAATAATCATGCAATGATGCAGTATTAACAACTGGATGACGTTTCGAGAATAAATTATTGCTCATAATCATATCAGTTTAGTGGCAAGGTTTCACAATTTGTCCTATATATGTCTTCTCAATTACTCCCTCCGCAAATTCCCCTTGTTGTTTGTTGCCACTTTCCATATCTCCAGCTTGGGAATTGCTTCATTCCGATTGCACGTGTGCTGTGTTGTATAGATAAACAACACTTCAGTGATTAAACTCTCAGTCTCTTCACCCAACTGTATTACTTTTTAATACTCTCGCCCTGTCCCACCCTACTTTGTGATTACATGCAAATGAATGCAGTGCAATGGCGGAGCTTGTTCTGGGTTATTTAACTTATCATGGTCAGTTATTCTGGGTCTAGCCAGAATTTTTATGTTCCAGTAATATAGTTGATCCGATCTATTGGGTTTTTAAGCTGACAAAATTTTCCTCTGAGAGAGTTGGTTGATGGGTTGGTTCAAATGCCATCCTAATTCCAGCTTCATTGGGAGTCCTACCTAAGGCCTCTGACTTCCCTTCTTTGCACGGCAATGTTATTGAGCACTGAAGCATTATTTGTCGATTCAACACAGCACACGTGCAATCGGAATGAAGCAATGCCCAAGCCGGAGTTATGGAAAGTGCAAACAAACAACGAGGGGAATTTTGAGGGGGAGAAAGTGAGAAGACATATATAAGACAAATTTTGAAACCTTGCCACTAAACTGATATGATTATGAGCAATAATTTATTCTCGAAACATCATCCAGCTGTTAATACTGCATCACTTTGTGATAATTAAAATGGACTTATTTAATACGGAATTACATTCTACCACAGTGGCTATGCACTTACACTAAATATTATCGATTTACTCCATATCATTTTGACGTCAGTATTACAAATATAATGGAAGTGAATCAGTTCCCGGAAGTATTGTTTGCATCTGAAAGTAAAATCAACGATGTGACATTTTCATGGATTCAGTCTCAGACCATTTATTTAAGACCATTAGTTAACTTCAGATAAACATGGATTTATATAAGAACAATCTTTAATGCAGAAACTATTGGGACGGTTACTGTCAGATCATGAAATTAGCTTCGGAATAATACAGAAGGTAATCTTTGTGCTTGTAAGGATCTGACTATTCAAGATTGTTTACATCTTTTCCTGTCATAGAAAGTGCAGCAGTTGTTCAGGCTGTGTAGGCTAACAGACCCAGTGGACCCAGCTAAACGAAATAACATAATTTACAAAGTACCCTGCTATGATTGTGAGTTAAGTCAACTGCATAGGTCAAACTTGTAGATCAGGAGTAGTGAGATTATCAGAACATGAGAATTTAGCTTAGGTTAGAATGATTGACCCTGAGAAGGTTAAGTAATTTAGAAAAAAACACATGAATCGCATTGCATGCATTAACACACACTCGCACAAAAGGTTGGGATACAGTCAAAATTCTAAAACGTAATATAGGTAGGTGGAGAGGCATTGATTACTGAATCCTGGTTTATCGAGTCTACACTTCTGTTCCCAGTCAAATCAGAGGAGGATAATAAGCAATCTAAAAATTCTATTTCAATTCACATACATTATAACATTAATACAAGTTTTCTTAAAAAAATATCTTATTTCCCATCTGATTGTATCTGTATGATAACACTAAGATTATTTCTGAATGTACATTATCTTCTCGCTCCCCAACCATGGTGTACTGTATAATCCAGTATACCACAATTAGGACATATATAAGACATATAAGCAATAGACTGCCGTTTTGTTCACTTGCTGATGAGATCATCAGCTATGTGCCTGGTCTGCTTCTACTTCTGTAGATGGATCAGTTCAGTCCACTTGAATTCTGGCTAGTTAATTGACCAAACTCGTAACACGTAGAATTAAAGTCACCGCGTTTGCGAATTACACAGTTTGATTTGAAAATACATCACATTTTCGATAAATAAATCCTGCTGATTTATTCATTCTTGAATTACAGCTATGCTTCTCAGGATTGAAAGACAGTAACCGCAAATTAATTGAGTTTAGTAAATTCATTTGACGGTGGGAACAAAGAGAAAAGAAAAAGTGATGGGACTTTAAGTGATAAGAAATACAATGTAGGTACTCTTGTAGATCTAATTCTCAACTCAGTAGTAGTATAAACAGAATGTCAAAAGCAGGATCAGCAAAACAAGACAGAGCTTCATTAGTCTGAAATCAGTGTGGAAATATGCTGCACTAAGAATGAATACCGAGATTCGGAGCTTCACAGCCAGTGTCAAGTCAGTCATTTCTTCTACATGGTTCACGAAGAGCGTTTCATCAACAGTTGCCTTTTCTTGTTCAACACTGAAGATCAGATGGCTAAAAATAGTGAGTAACAAAGAGCTCTATAAACAAGCCAGTCAAGAACAAATTGCCCAAAGGTATGTAGGAAGAAGCGGTGACTGACGAGACATACTTTGAGGTGACCGTTAAGTGATATTACACACCAGGAAGCCTCATAGAGTGGAACCCGAGTGGGAAAAGACTAGTTAGGTGTCTGAGGAAGTGAAAGTGTATGGTCAACTGTGGAGCCAACTAAAGAGGACTACGGAGAACAGGATGAAATGGAGATATTATGTTGAAGCTCTGTTTCCCACTAGGAACTTTAAGAAATCAAAGCAGTGATACGCTAGGTAAGAACCAACAAACTGGCAAAAGGTGGTGCTAGCGAAGACAGAACTTCAAGTGAACATAAAGAAGAAGGAAGTGATGTAGATAACCAACCAACCAACCAACAACATCAAGCACAAATCACCATCAACAGTAGGGATTTGAAAGAGGTTACTTCCTTCACTTGTCTAGGGAGAATCGTCTCAACCGCAGGCGGAACGGATGAAGATATCAAAGCTATCCAGAATCGGAAAGGTAAGATACGCCTTCATCAGTCTGAAATCTGGAAATGTTTTGCACTCGGTCAGTATAAAATACAAGATTCGGATTTTCACCACAAATGTGTAGTCAGTCAGTTCTTCTATACAGGTCAGGAACATGGCAAGCGCATCACGAAAAGGATTTCCAACAGGTTGCAGACTTTCATCAACGGTTGAGTTCTCTGCCTCCATAATGAAGATCAAATGGTCAGCAAGAATGCATTAGCGACCAGAAAGTCTGGGAAACAACCAACAACCTGTCGCTCAGCCAATTCATAGAAGTAATGGAGATCAGGAGTCCATCAAATGACATCTCTTGCAGTGCAGACCATCGCTGGAGTGGAATCTAAATGGGAAATGACGAGTTAGGGGTGGGTCTGAGGGTGATGTGAAGGAAGTCGTGGGAGGAAGAGATAGGGGTCAGTTGAAGAGGACTCCAGAGAATAGGACAAATGGAGATGTGCTGCTGAATCCCTATGTCCCACTCGGAGCTCAGCGGAATAATAAAAATATCAAACGAAACCTGTGTGATAAAGACTACTCAAATATTACATCACAATAATTAAAATAATTAAATAGAGGATGGTGTTACCTGGTGAGGGTAGAGTTTTGTCTGTTGACTACAAAATTAGTAATACAATCCATATTCCCACGTGTTGTATATTTCAGTGTTGCTTCTTTAGTGCAGATAATCCAATCTGGTTTCTGAGTCTTCCTTGG